ACATTTCAAAATTCTTTACTAACCTTACACTTCAAAGTCCTAGTCTAATCCAAGTTTAAGTTCCATTTTTCTACAATATATAGACTTCGTTCCAGTCAATAAAATCATGTCAATATACTATGACCATTCTCCTCAATGCTTTTAGAAAGGCCTTCCCCCACATAAAATGCCTTCACGTCAATTATTACCTTCCTCGGAAATCTTCCAATCACCAAGTTCAAGTTCCTTTATCTATAAAATGGCAGTTCAGGCTGGAAGACCTCTCCACGGCTCTTAACTACAGTCAATATTATTTTTAGCCACATTGATAGATTTAAATTTTTTATTATGTCATTACTATTGCCAAGCACAGTTCTACATGGAGAACTATTCCAGATTATCAAAGCCCTTACTTTCATTTTACAACGTATAAGCATTTTTTCCTCCCACTTCCAGTGTTACTCCAAATATGGTCTGTGAACTACAACATCTGTACCAGACCCCATGAGAAATCAATATGGTACCGTGATCTAAATGATCCACATCATTACGCATACACTTTAGTTCAGTTGATTTTTCTTTTTTTCATAATAAGACTTTCTCAATGAAGGAAACAGTCAACCAACTGTGGACTGAAAACATTTGCAAAACTAAAAAATAAATTAGCTATAGCTGTACTGGACATGAGATTTTTTTTTTTCTTGTCCTTATTCCCTAAACAATATAGGATAACAAATATTTAGAAAGCATTTATATAGTATTAGGTATTAAAAGTAAACTAGAGCTGTGTGAAAGTCTACAGGAGGATGGGTATAGGTTACAGGCAATACTGTTCTGTTTTATATAAAGGAGTTGAGTATCCAGATTTCGGTATCCTCAGGAGTCCTGAAACCAAATCCAGATATCTGAAGGATGACTATACTTTCTGGAACTAGCTTCTTTCTCATAGTAAATGGGTAACAATTTACAGACTGGCTATTTGGAATAACACTACTCTAAATGATTAGCTACAGTAAGGCAGGAACCCAGGAGACATTCAATACATACCAACGGATGGTTGTATATAGGAAATAAATTCGTCTTTAAGGTACGTGTTCTGCCTGCACAGAAAACGTCAGAGGTTTTACCTGACATAGCGTGTAAGCGTGAAGACCAGTTTTCTGTCTCAGTAAGCCAGCTGCCTTCCCTGTAGGTGCTGTGAGCAACACTTCTACAGCCTTGTCTGTCTCCAGCCGATTCTGCTGAGAAAAGGTCATCCATTCTTCTGAGACATTCTGGTCTTGTTCAAAATCTTCGCAGGCTTTTTTTACTTCCTTTTCTTCCAACTGCTCTATGTGCTTAAAAAGATGGCTAACAATGGTAGTCTTCCCACAGCCCCCTTTCCCACTTATGACTGTCACAGCATTGGAGCAAATCATATCCAGAGCGGTCACCTGATCCCGGTCCAGCTGAGCTTCACTTCTGTCTGCATTCGTGTCATCGTCATGATTACGGCAAATGTCACCACGGTCCTGAGTGTCCACAACGTCCACAGAACTTTCTGAGGGCGTTTCATCAGGTGTACTATCATTCGCGGCATCATCACTCCTGGAACTCTTAGGGTTTCCGGTGTGAACAGATGCAAGCACCTGTTTGACATCGACGTGCAACCGCCATGGAGGCTTCCTGATCAGGTCACATATGGAAGAGGCGATGCCTCTTTCAGCCTGATAAAGGTCGAAAGGGAAGACACAGGCCTTCTCATACATCACCACGCCGATATCTTTCAGAAACTTCAGAGACTGCCAAGCATCATGAAATGACATCTGCTCTGACAAGGTCGAGGTTAACTCCACCTCTTTAACACACGTGTGCCCGTGCTCTCTACATATCTGCTTCAGTGTAGAATATACAATTAATGCATTCTTCTCCAAATCAGTCATCAACCGGAGAAGAGACTCACACTGACAGAATGCTTTCCAACTTGCCTCACATCGCAAAAGCTTCAATTCTCTGTAGGTTATCTTTATAAAAAGTATAAATATTTATATTACTATAATGTACAGTAAAAATGTATTTGTTATTAAGTTACTCAGTCTTAGGAAACATGCATTCCAATGAAATTCAAAGAAAAAACTACAGCACATCACTGAATTGTTTTAAATCAATGGCACTGTGATCAGAGGTCTAGGTAATTTTTTAAATTAAAATTGCATTGTATCAAAGCAATACACAGAATTTTAAAAGCCAAATTAACACTGTAAGGCTTATCATAAGAAATAGAAATCCCCTGACCTACCGTTTCCCGTGTTGTCCAAGGGCAATGCCCTCCCCAACACTTAACTATCTCTTCCTGAATTTATTTTCACACTTCTAAGTGCTATTTATATTATTCCTTAATGATCTCTCTCTCTCTCTCTCTCTGTGTGTGTGTGTGTGTGTGTACGTGTTTGTGTGTTGTGTGTGTGTGAAATTTTTTTGACAGGGTTCTGCCATGTTGCATTCCTCCTACTAAGCCCCCCAAGCAGCTGGGATCACATTAACTTTGTGTTGACCTCTGTAAGTATTGAAAGCTAATGTCTGCCTCATATTCCTGGCTTGTTTAGTCTGCTATGTCTATTACCAGTTCTACCCAAACTCTACAGCAGAGGCATGGCACTCCCTTAACCAAGATCCACTGAGCAGGTCATCTACCAGTTTCATCTCACCCTCCTTGGAGACATTCCTCTTTAGCCCTTTGTATCTTTTATGGGCTGAATCATGTGTCCATAAATTCCATAAGTCAAAGTCCTAACCCAGTTACACGGAGTGCATCTACATCTGAATAAAAGATTTTGTTTTGTGTTTGCTGTTTTGTTTTTTGTTTTTTTTTTTAAATTGGCTAAATAGCATGTGCGCTCACCAGTAGAGACAGAGAGAAAGAAAGATGGAGAGCAAAGGAAAGTGAAGAAGCACTCTCCACAGGGCATGCATCCCTCCTTCATGTCTCCTTTTGGGATTTTGGGCACTCGCACATATGCACCCAGCGTGTTTTCCAAGCCACCAGGTTCAAGACTAGAACTGCACAATCAGTTGACCATGTGGGATCCAGGTGTCTTCACCATGCCATGGGCTGGGTTGGATACAGAGCCTTTAAAGATGGAATTAAGGCTAAATAAGATCATCACCCTCATTCATGAGGTCATTAGGACCCCTAACCCAGTCTGACAGGTATCCTTTAAAAAAGATGAGATTAGGACACAGGCAGCCACAGAAGACCATGAGATAACACAGGGAGAGGACAAACCATCTACAAGCCGGGGAGAAGAGCCTTACAAGAAATCAGCCCTACCAACACCCTGATCTCAGACTAGAAACCTCCACAACTGAGACAACAGATAGCTGGCCTGTAAGCCACCAGCGAGTGGTATTTGTTACAGCAGCCCTAGCCAGCTAATACAGTAATCCCCCCGTATCCCTGCTTCTCCTTCCCATGGTTTCAGATGGCTGCAGTTTCACAGTGAATCACAGTCTGAAAACATTAAATAGAAAAATGCAAAAATAAATAATTCATATACATTTTAAATCATGTGCCATTATGGGTAGCATGATGAAATTTTACACTGGGACATGAAGCATTCCTCTGTCTGGCATATCCATTATTACTAGCATATACTATTAAATAGTACATTATTTATTAGCATATTTAAATATTAAAGCACATTATTAAATAGTATCCACTATTTTATTACTTGTTATTGTCGTTAATCTCTTTTAAGTTTCTAATTCATTAATTAAACTTTATCATAGGTAGGTATGCATAGAGTCTAATGACACCCACAGTTTCAGGACCCCTGTAGATAAGGAGGCCTACTTGCAATATCTGGACGGTGGGGTACATGCTGAATGGTAGAGTCTCACAGTGCTGCGATCAGATTTAAACTCCTCAAGAATGATTCTTCTCTGAAAACAGTGACTACACAGAAGGAAAAAACTTCCAAAAAAAAAGAAAAACGTCCACATACTGCCATGGAGTGGATGCAGGTAAAAGGAGACGGACCTTTACTGAAAAACCTGAGTCCCAACAGACAAGCCCTGCCTTATCCTCACTGGGTATCCCAAGTCTATAATCTCCCCACTGAATGTTAAAAAGGCAAACCTCTATTCTCTTACTAAGGAAGGAAGCAGTAATCACTTAATCCCCCAATGGGGAGAGAATCTGAGACAGCTTCTTACACACAGGTTCCCACTTAATCCAAGAGGTGGGAAATGAAGCAGCCGAGAGATAATGCTTTAATTTTTTTTAAGAGGAGGTAGAGACAGAGGGATAGAGGAGGGAGAGAAAAACACTGACCCTAGGATCCTTATAGACATACCCTCAGACTCCACTGACCACAAAGAAGAATGCAAGGTCTGCTCTCTACCAGGAAGATGGCGAGCTCCATGAGGACAAGGCTGATCATATCTCCATCCTACATTGATAAGGTCTCAATAAATGTTCTCTGAATTGCATTTACTAACACAATGTATATTTTCAGTAATATTTCATATAACTATTCCTGAAATGTGAATATACATAATTCTTAGTACTCTAAAGTTCTTTTCTATATATGTTTAGCAAGAAGGTTAGATTTTACAGGTTTTGTAGTTTACAAAAAGGTAAACTATCATTATCTATTTCTTACATGTCATTGCTCATACTCCCTTCTCCACTGAATATATATATATACACACACACACACACACACACACACATATATATACATATATAATAATCTGATGTTCTAAAATGTCATCTATCAAAGTATACTGAATTTACAGACATTTTATATGAGGAACAAATTCATTATTACATTATTTTTCTGAGAGTCTGTCAACATTTTTAGGATCCAAAAATTATTCCAGAATTTCTTTTACTGTATTTGCATTTGGAAAACCATGTTATGACCAAGTACTATCAAGATTTAAGAATTGAGGCCAGCAGGTGGCATAGTGCTTAAAGCACTAGACTCCCACACAGTCAACCCCGGTTCAAGTCCTGGGCCTGGCAACTTGAAAATTATGCTGAGAGCATGTGCGTGTGTGCCCAAAATCTCAGGAGAATAAAGGAGAAGGGATTGCAGTGTGGCCATCCCTGCTTAAGAGTGAGGGATGCTTCCCATTTTCCCTCTTGCTGTCTGTCTCTGTCTCCTCTCTGGCAAGTGTACGTACCCTATGGCAAAAATCTCCAAAAAAAAAAGATTAAAACATCACATTTTGTTTCAAACAATACTAGAGTCTCAGAGTACCACTTGACTACTCTTGGTCTCTAATAATAAGAACAGAAATAGATTAATTTGTAAATGATGTTACTGTATCAAAATAAAAATAACACCCAAATGATACAATAACATAAAAATGTTACAATAACCTGAAATGATGTTATAGTATAAAAATCAATTACAAGTCAGGACCAATAAATGGCATAATGGTTACATTGATGGACTCCCACATGACTGATCAGGGTTCAAGTCCCAGACCAGGAAGCCTGAAACTCACACCAAGTGTGTGTGCGTGTGTGTGTGTGTGTGTGTGTGCATGTGCACGCCCAAGATCCCCGGAGGAGAATGGAGAAGAAGGGATTGTGGCATTTTTGCTTTCTGTCTCTTTGTCTCTCTGTCTTTCTAGTGAATGCAAGTACCTATACTAAAAATCTCTCAAAAGGAAAAAAAACAAGCAATTGAAGGTTGTTCTGTGGCCTAGTAGTTAAGAAAACTAACACAGCCAACCGTACAGTTGGAGTCCTGGACCCAGAGATTTGACAAACATGCCAAGCATATATGAGCGCATGCCTGAAATCCTGACAGGGTGGAAAAGTGGAGAAAAGGACTGCAGTGTGACAACACCCTGCTGAGGGAGTGCTATCTTCCCCTCCTTCTCACTGTGTCTCTCCCTGGTTAGCACACAGACTCTCTGCCAAATTTTCTTAAAAAATTCATTGATATTGTGAAGTATCAGATGAATAATGAAAGTTCACAGTAGCTCAAAGTGGAAAGTGAGACACAGAGCTGCTTGGCAGAATGGCCATGCCAAACACCTAAGGACTATTGTCTTCGAGGAGATCTATGTTCAAGTTGCAAATGACAATTTAGTAACAAGAGAACATGTTTCATTAAATGATATATTTAAATTAATATTGAACATTAAATATTAACAATTTCGTTATTTTGTTTTTCATGTAAAGTTACAGACTATAGGTGCATAAGAGCTGTGGTGTGTGAAGTTTATGTTTAGTTGTAACATTTGAAGAAAAATAAATCAACGATGGGGTCCAAACAGAACTTTTTCCTTTGAAAGAAATGCAAAAACTGCCAAATTTTAGAAACCTTCCTCATACAAGATTACTAAATGCTGAACAAAGGCCTACTTACTTTACTAAATCCAAGTTTCCATGGATGCGTACCTAAAATCTCTTCTATCTCTTCCAACAGCTCGTAAGAACCTGAGCTGATAAGCCATTTAAAGTGTCGCGGCAGGAGAACTGGGAGGAATTCCATAATTTTTGGAAACTTCAAAGCTGTCATTACATTTATAAATGGAACTATAAGATATCAAAAAAGAACAAATTAAAACACACGAGTAACCCTAGAGAATTGATTTAAAAAACTTTCTCATTTAGCACAACTAGTTCAAAAAATCCAAATCAAAGAGAAATGAATCAATTTATTTTGGCAGTTAGGAAAATTGATCATATTTTGGTATAATTTTTACGATGTTTAACACCAAAATTTATGCTAAATGCTTAGAAAACTACTCCGCAGCTTTTTCTTTATGCATGTAATATAACCAGTAAAATAGTTTTGACTTGGGCTGGCTCCACGGTCTGGTTGTTGGGGGAGCCGGATCCCACGTGGCCAATCATAGTTAGTCCTAGCCCCTAGCGGCTTAAGGAGCATGTCAGCAGCATATGCAAGCATGCCTAGGGTCCCAACAAGGTGGAGAGATAGAGAAGGGACTGAGGCATGACCACACCCCATTGAGGCGTACTTTCTCCTTCCTTCTTTGTTTTTCTGTCACTCCCTGCTGAGCTCAGCATGCAGCCTCTGCTAATTAAAAAAATTATATATATATATATATACACTTTTTTTTTTTTTTAAAGTTTTGAGGGACCAGCAGATGTTGTAATGGTTTCGTCACTGGACTCCCACGTAGTCAACCATGGTTTGAGTCCTGGACCTGGAGGATTAAAACTCACACCAGGCACACGTCCATGTGTGTCCAAGATTCCAAGAGAAGAGTGGAGGGGAAGGGACTGCAACGTGGCTATCCCTCCGGGCAGTGATTACTCTCTTTCTGTCTCTCTGCCTCTCCAGTGAGCACACGTGCTGTATAGAAAAAAAAACTCTCCAAAAAAAAAAAAAAAGTTTTGACTCAGAAGATAAATTTAAAGTTACACATAAAAAATATTGTTCACATAATTGCACTCATGATTCTTTGTCACTGAAGTAAATCACTGATGTACCATTGATTTCAAATTTGATATAACTAAAAATGAAGTATCCCATATATATGGATCTCTCATACCAAATCATACTAAAACTATGTTTCAGGGCCAGCAAATGGTATAGTGATTAAGGCACTGGACTCCCACATCGTTGACCATGGTTTAAGTCCAGATCAGCAGCTCAAAATGCACACCGGGCACGAGTGTGTGCATGCCCAAAATCCCAGAAGGGAATGCAGCATGGCCACCCCTTCAAGGGGTGATGTCTCACTTTCCTTCTCTCTGTTGCTCCAATGAGCATACACACCCTATAACAAAGCTCTCTCTCAAAAACAATAATGTTTTAAATCTTTTCAAAATAAATTACATATATCCTTGCCTTTGCCCTCTGCCTTCTTAACTAAAACAATTAATAACTTTTTCTTAAAGACTCAGGTAATCTCTGTGAAAACAAAATTTAGAGAAGTAGACCAAATCACAAGTTTAGAACTTAACAGGAACTAAATGACCTGAAAGGTCATCTCACACAACCCATTACAGACGAAGAACCTGAAATGCCAATGACATACTCTAAAAGTCACATAAACACATTTTCCTCAAACTGATTTTTAACCAGCATACTGTGCCAAGATATAAAAATGGTCTTTTTTTTTTTTTTTAATAAGGAGACAGATTTTTGGAGGCAGCAGGTGGCGTGGTGGTTAAAGCACTGGACATTCCCACATGGCCGACCACGTTTCAAGTCCCGGACCCGGTAGCTTGCTTTCTCACTTTCCTTCTCTCCATATGTCTGTCTTGCTCTGGTCAAATTAAAATAAAAATGAATGAATAAATAAAATTAAATAAATAATTATTTTTTAAAAAGAGAGAGATTTTTGCTAGAAAGTGTGTGCTCTTGCCAGAGAGACAGAATCAGAAAGCAAGAAATCACCATCCAGCAGAGATTACCATACGGCAATCCCTTCTCCACTGTCATCTTGGGATCAAGCACACACACATGCCCGGCATGAGTTTTAAGCCACCAGGTCTGGGACTCAAACAGCAGTCAACTACACGGGAGTCCAACGACACCATTATTGCCACTGCTGGTCACCATAGTAGTAATATTTTAAACACTCCAGTCATCAAGTATCTCATTTACACTAAAACTCGATGATAAAATCACTTACTTGTGTTTTCCAGAGGAAGACTCAGCTCATCATCTGAAGACTCTTCCTGCTCATTCTGTGAAGACTGCTTTTGATCTTTCTTTCTTTTCTCCTTATAAAAAGTCCTTAATGTTTCCCTAAGATTTTCAAAGTTTAGGTCTTTATAGCTTGATACATGGGTAAACCATGCTAAAAATTCATTTATATCATGACTGGGGACGCGACATTCTTTAAGAAAGAGGAGGCAGGTATGTTTTTGATTTGGTGGTGACATGTCAGACTGTAAAAAGTAAGAGGGGAATCCTTGAACTTGATAGCTCCTTTGTCCCAGAGGCTTCACTTGCACCTTCACGCGCCACCAAGGAGCCACTATTGGAAAACGTCCAAACACCTCACATTGCTCTTGAGTGTCTTCATCAGAAATTAACACTATATAAAAAAAAAAAAAGTTAACCTAGGAAATTTAATAGAAACCTTGGACACCAATGTTTTGTCAAACCCACCAATCCCTTTCATTCTTCCAGAGCTCACTGGATGTCTGTAAGAGTGCCTATAACATTTTCTTCTGTTTGCCTGTTTATGCATCCCCTCTGCTATATGCTAAGCTCTCAACACAGGACATTTCAATTGAGTTTGTATTCCGAAAGGTTAGCCCAGCTCCAGTAAGTGTCCGCTGTTCCGCTTCTAAAGCCAGTCCTCTTTCTTCTACTCTGACCTCAGCCAAGACTAGCCTTCATGTAGTTTCTATAAAAACTGCTATACTCATGCTAGGAAAAGCCATTTTGCAAGCTGTAAAAATATACAGTGATTAAATGAAATTTTAAAAGGAGAGAAATAGGGTGTTTGAAGATATAATAGTAGCGAGGACAACAATAGATGCCAGAGACTGTATAGGAAGGTGGTGATGAGCAGGCGGTGGGTGGCAGGGGCTCAGGACAAAAACACGGAACAGACACAAGAATGGAAAGTCACCTGTTGAGGATGACGTATATGGTAGTATCTTTGATTTGACTGACATGCAAGCTTTGAAAACCATATCGTATGTTATAAATACGTGCAATGACTAGATGTAAATAAATCGTACAATAAATAGTATTAAAAATAAATAAAGACTATCTAGTAAAGAAAAAAAACTACCATGGTCTGTCCACCACAGGGCCCTTGCACAGGCTGTTCATCTGCCTTAAATGTTCTCCTTGGTGTGACCCCCCCCCCCATGGCAGGTGCTTTCTCAGTCTCCCTCTCTATCCTGTGAGTACAAACCTCAGCAGAATTCTTTAAAATCAAATTACCCTCCTACCTATAGACCTCAGTTTAGCTATCGCTTAGGAAAGCCTCACAAAGGACTATGTAGGAATCCTTCTAGGCACTATTACAATTACTTCTGTGATTAAAGAATGTCTGTTAAATTCACTGGAGGGTAAGCTCCAGTAAAGACAGCGCCGTCCTCATTTCATCTCTCAGGAATACTCCAGCACCAACCACCCTGCCTGTAACATTAAGATAGCCAGTCGATAATACTTTGGAATGAAAGATTAAGCCTTCCACAAATGCTTGAAACATTTGTCTAAACCTGCGCTGTCCACCTCCATGTGGTTATTTAAATTAAAAGTAAACCTAAAATTCAGCTACGCGGCTGCATTGGCTGCACTTTGCCTCTAAAGAGCCCCTTGTAGACAGTGGCTGCTGACAGGAGGGACTGCCACCATCACAGAAAGGTCTCCTGAGCTGGTCCACACGGTAAAATACTTGGAAATATCATCAGTTACGGTGTACGCGTAACAGGTATGGTTTATACCACAGGAAACAAAGTTAACACGAATTCCAAGATTATTAACACAAGGCTAAGCAGTGCGCCGAGGTGTTCCTTCAGTTTTGTTTTGTTCCTCGACTGAGTTGCAGAAAACGTACTGGACTGCGGGTAGGAGGGGTAAGACACCAAAGTTCTGATTCTGTATGGGAATCTAGGTCGACATCCACTCTACTCAACGGTAAAACTACCTTAAAGAACAGGCGACATCAAACAAAACGAGGTACGCGGAGCGCAAGCTTTATGCATACTATGAAGTCACTGTTTTATCCCCTGCCGGGTGAAGGAGCAGCACCGCCAGCCCAAATGCAGACCCGTTAGCGGCGACCCGCGCCCGGCTCTGGGCAACCTCATCCCCTCCCGGGCAGGGGCTCCTACCACGGAGGCGCCCGGGGAGGCTGCCAGCCCTTACGGCCCCACTGCAGAGCTCCTCGGCGTCGACAAACGCTGCGTCGTCATCCTCCTCCGCATCTACATAGTCGCAGTCTTCCTCCACCAGGTCCTTGGGCGGGAGCAGCAGGCCGTGCAGCTGGCGGAGACCCACCGCCATACCCTCCGACAGCGGGATCCCCCCCCAGCTCCAGAATGCCCGGCCGGGGCGCTGAGCCAGGATCAGCCAATCAGCTCCGCCACGGCAAGACCGTCCTCTTCCGGGAACGCCCACGGGGCGGGGCGACGGTGAAGCTCCGCCCTACGTTTCCGCGGTAGATGGGGGTGAAAGGGAAAGGCCAGAACGACGGGAACGAAGGCGGGGAAAAGACCTAGGGGCGGGGTAGTGGGCGGGGCCACGGGCGGGGCCACACCTGCGCCCGCACCCTGTAGTTAGGATCCCGGAAGCTTTCGGACCGTACTATGGCTGGAGAGATGATGGTGTGGCTGGAATCTGCAGAACCGCTAGCGCAGGGCATTTGCTGCTTAAAGAGAAAAGCTGGAAAGGACTAGGTCCACCGAGCCTAGAGAACCCGAAAAAACGAGCCCTCCCAACTCCGGCAAAACGAAAGCATAGTTTTTGCTTCCAACCGTTGAGCACCATCCAAAACACAGAACAAGGAATCTCGGATTGCGGAGACTCCGGGGTAACTGCTTTGGGGTCGCACAGGAGGAGCAGAGTTTCTGTCATTTAACGGCGGTTATTCAAGGTGCAGAATTCTGCGCCCCCTTCCAGGTCTACTAAATCGGAATCTAGACCTGGAACACACTATTGAGTCTTATTATTATTACTTAAGCTTTATTAAGATATCATTGAAATACAATAACCGTACATATTCAAAGTGTACAAGGTGATACATTTTAGCGTATGAATAGGTCCAAAAACCGTCACCATCGTCAAGACATGAACATATCCATCACCTCCGAAAGTCTCCTTGTGTCTCTGTAATCCGTCCCACCCACTCTCTTGCACCTGCACCTACCCAATAAGGCAAGCTCTAACCTTTCTTAGAGATTACTTTGTTTTTCCTAGTTTTTATTTATGAAATTATACAATATATCGTCTTCTAAGTCTGGATTCTTCAACAGAACTTGATTATTTTGACATTCACTCATTGTTGCTGTGTGTAGTAGTATTTTCACTGTTCAGTAGTTTTTCATGGTGAGGATATACATAATTTATCAGTTCACCTACTGATGATATTTGGTTTCAAGTATGGGGCTTTAAAAACTACAGCTGTTGTTAACCCTAAGGTATGCACATAAGCTTTTGTTTCTCTTGTGTAAATATAGTGTTCTTATAGTTCAGAATTGTGTCTTTGTAATGCAGATCCCAAGAGGGTACATTCTAATGCTCAACCAGGTTTGAAAATCATAGGATTAGATGACACACAAAAATTACTATGGTCTTCTCTTCTGTGAGTACACCTGGCCTCCCAAACTTCCAGTTGGGCTGCTACCTGCTAACAGTGGGACAAAGACAAAGACAATCTTTGCAACCCAGAGTTCAGACAAGGTGGGGAGGAGGAGAAAGGAAGTGGTTTTAAAATGCTCCGGCGGCACGCAGGACCCGAGGGGAACTGGCACTGTGGCGGTTGGTGGATTGTGCCAGGCGGCCTCCGCCTTTCCGCTGTCAGCTGCGGTCCAGCTCTGCCCGGGGGCGGCCTGGCGCGGCTCTCTGACTGCAGCGTCAGCGTGTTCTGATGCCATCTCGTACCACCCTGGCTACTGGAATCCCCAGCAGTCAAGAGAAATACTCAGCGCTCTCCAGCACAGACGATGGCTATGTCCACCTTCAGTTGAAGAAAAGCCCGCCTAGGATCCCTTACAAGGCCGCTGCGCTTGCCACGGTGCTGTTTTTTATTGGGCTGTTTCTCACTATCAGGTTCCCTCCAGCTGTCGGGCTATATTAGTCGGGAGGGGGGAAGGACCAGGCTGTTCTGGTGTTCCTGCTGGGGTTTTACCACCTGCGCAGGGCCTACGGATCCTAAGGCTACCAGGGTTACTCCTAGGACTCCACTCCTGCCTGATGGCTCGCACACCCATCTCAGCCCTGAGGACGATAGTCACAGTGGAACTGCTCCCAGCTTTGAAATACTGAGCAGAAACTATGGTTAAGGACTAAGAAACTCTTAGTTTGCAGATGTTTAAGGGTAGCCGGATCCAGGGGACCCATCATCCCAAAGATGTTAACTGAGCTTACAGTTAGCTCGTTGACACTGTTGTTCTTCATCTGGCCCCGGCAAAGGCTCCTGACGAGTTTCCCCACATGAGTATGTACCCCGGAAGAACGAGAGCGTTCACGGCCTGGGGAAAAGGGGGAAGTAATTCTGCAGTGGAAAGTGGGGCAAAGTGGGGCTGCCAACACCCTGTTAGATTTGAGAGTTTCTTTTAAATAATTTTCATTGTCAGTTTGTTCTTGTAGCAAATGGAATAATCCGTGTATCTACTTTCTTATTATCAAGTAATTTATTTTTCCAGTACCTAAGTGTCTCATCCCCTATTTTACCTCTTTCTTCATGTTGTAATGGAAGACCCCAGTAACATCAAATATCAGCGTAGGTCCATCTGTAATATTTTTTTACTTGCTTTCTTACTGCAACCAAGAATTTTTAAGACTGCAGACCAAGGTTTCAAAATGTAAACACTTTCTCTGTTTACCAACCCTCGGCCAGCTGTTTTGGTTCATTGGTGGTTTGGCCAGTGTATGGGTTGGGTCGTTCCATCCTTTGTAGATAATGTTCTGTATATCAGGCCTTCAAAGACGGCACTTTCTTGGCTAATGAAAAAAAAATGTAAATAAATGGTTATTACTGAAGAGCTTGTAACCTTGTTGCTAGCACCTTGTTAAGGTGGTGTCTTTCTGCTTAAGATCACAAGACTCAGCCTGTATCGCTAGAGGACCTGACTGTCTTAAGATTCTATTCCTAGCTTGCAAAAAGTAATGTGTATTCAAGAAAATTAAAATACCAAATCCACCGGGCGCGTGTGCGTGTGTGCCCAAGATCTCGAGAGGAGAATGGAGGAGAAGGGATTGCGGCGTGGCCATGCCCTCTGGGGGGTGATTTCTCGCTTTCTGTCTCTATGTCTCTCCCTGTCTGTCTGGCGAGTGCACGTGCCCTATAGCGAAAACCTCTCAAAAAAAAAAAAAATCCAAATCATAGACTTAAACATATTTTGGAAAAATAAAATTATTCTGGAGGGCCCAATAGGTGGTATGGAGGTTAAGGCTCTGATTGTGGTACTCACGCTAGGCACATGGGCTTGTGTGCCCAAAGTCCCACGAGGAGAATGGAAAAGGTATTGCTGCACAGCCATCCGCCCTGGGGGGATTTCTCACTTTCCCTCTGTCTCTCTCTAGGGAGTGCATGTGCCCAAAAGCAAAAACCTAAAGAAAAAAAAAGAAAGAAATTATTCTGGAGCTATGGTTCTCTTGTTAGGGATAGTATTTGAAAATCATGGCATTCTTTAAACAATATCACAATATATTACTATATTATTATATTGATACTTTTTAATTATGTAATTACTCTATTAATATGTCCAAAATAACTACGCATATGCTGTTCGCTAAATGCAAAATCTTCTGATACTAGATGCTAATATAAACAAAAGCCAGCACCAAAGATTTAAGAAAATTTTATTTAAAAAATGCTAAAATTGATTTTGTTCTTTTGGGTACAGCTCTATAGATGTCCATCCACCTTTTTGTGCTTTAAAAAAAAAAAATCTTCCTTGCAGCTGACAAACTGTTTCCAAGGGTTGTTTATAAGAGGTTGAATAATCTTTTCTCACCACTCTCAGGGCTAATGTTTCCATCACAACATTGTATCTGTCTGCAAATGTCACATTTCCTGTACTCTTTGTTGCTAAATCCAGTGCCTAGTCTTAGCCTTTGTTTTACCTGACTTCTTCACAGTATCCTAAATGGATTACTGTATCCTTTTTGTATCATTGTGCTTTTGTGACTTGTCTTCTTGGATTTCTCTCCCTCTCCGGCCACTATTGCTTTCTTGGACTGCAATGTCTTGTCCACTGGCATTCCTCAGGTTTCTGCCCTAAGTATTTTCTTACTCTATGATCCTTCCATCAGTCATTCTTCACATACTCTATTGCCTACATTGCTAATGGCTCCTAATATGATCCCTCTAGATCTGTGCAAACCATTTCTTATTACAATAGATATCACTCCATGATGCCCTTTGGATTCTTCAGACTCAAAGGTATCCAAACTGAAACTTCTCTATTGCCCAAATATTGGATACTTATGTGTACAGCTGTAAGCTATACATCCTGTTACCAACAGGATGACTTCCAAGCAAAACTCACTTCATAGAAACCTTTCTCATTCTTTCTAAAAATAGCTGAATAAGTAGTTTCCAAGACATTATATTAAATAAGAAAAGACAAGCCATAAGACAAAGCATATAGTTTTATTTACATGTCTGTATTTGTGTGTGTGTGTGTGTGTGTGTGTGTATTGCAAGAGAGAGAAAGAGAGAGAGAGAGAGAAAGAGGAAAGAAATGAGCAAGCCTAAGAATAGTAAACCAAAAATTAATGAAAATAGTTTCCTATAGAGAAGATACAACAGGACAGAGATGGCAGGGGTGGAACAAGATGTCTGTGTTGTTATTCTGAACGATGTAAACATTTTTACATATTCACAGGTAGATAAATAAAAAAACACCTGAAATTGAATACAAACAGAAACAAATGAATTTACAAATGTATAATATAATTTTCAAGGAAAAATATGTATTTCAAGTTACTTTTGCATACTCTGAATGAATACTTTAAGTTACTGTAACTATACACTCTTAAGTTATACTCATAAGACAAAAGATCTATAAAGTAATCTTAAACTTTACTTTCCATTGTTCATTAGCTATAATACTATTAACATAATTTTGAAATTATGTACCATAAGATAAAACAAATAAACAAATATATTCATGTTTTATTAAACAAAGGTTTTTCCATATATTTACATGAAAAGAAAGACAAACAAAAAAGTTAGGGAAAACTTCTACAGTATTAAATTCAAATTGGAAAAATCAACATAAGCTTGTGATTTCTTAAAATATATTTTCTGGGCCCAGCAGGCAGTGTGGAGGTTAAGG